AAGCACTTTCGTTTTACAAAAAGACACTTGAAATCTTCCAAAAAACACTTCCGCCAAATCACCCTAATCTTCGAGTCGCGGAACGAAACCTTGAAGCTGTAAGAAAGAAACTGTAACTACTTTGTCATTGTCACGATGACTTGTTCATACGCGATATTTCGTCTGGATTATGTCGGTGTGTCGACGATACTTTCTCCATTATAACAAATCGAAGGCACATATTCTATATATGAGAACGCGCCTGTGCTATGGTTTTTCTCGAGTTTGTTTTTCAAAACAGACAGCATTGTGGGTCTGATATTTGTACCAAACCAAAAGACAGTCGATCTCGATCCAATGGATATCGAATAATACACATTTCTTTGAGTATCGAATCTATTTTGCGAAAGCTCTACTGAACAGATAAAACTACTTAAAAGAGATAACCACAAGTACCGACGTTAGGTATAACTATAACTATAGTTATTCATGAAGTACGCACAAATGTGTATCTGACTAACGCATTCAAATTTTCCGAAGTTTTCTCTGCTTTCTGTGTTTGATTTTATGCTTGTAACTGCATAGAATATTGTTATTGATAAACATAGACCTGATCTAATCAAAAAGTAATTTCTCTTGTTTTCTAGTCAATAAAGGAAAGACGTATCATTAAGTTTTCCAAGCCCCTAGCTCATTCATATCTTTGAAGCATAATTATATCATTCGCTTAGACAGTTTGGCGCGAAACGAGGTAGTCAGTGACACATCGGTAGACACAAGGTATGGTTGTTATAAGCTTTATTGAAAAAGAAAAAGTTAGAAAAGATCAGTACAATAATGAGGAGAAGGAGGCAAACCAATTGCATCTTTACATCATTGACTGCGGACATAAGACACGAGAAGAAATACATATAAAAACAAGTGACAAGGACAACATAAAAAAGACAAGTACAGATAAAATAAAGACAAAAAATAAAGAGTGAGGAAATAGGCGTACGAGGACGGAAATAGGAGTTAGAATCGTTGTGTGTCTTTGATATAAGTAGATATAAGCTTATTATATTATGTAATGAAGAGAAGAAGAAAAAGAAAAAAGAAAACAACTACTGGATGGACATATGAACAGACCAAAAAGAAAGGGGAAAAAAACCCATAGGGTCATTTTGACTCTTCTATAAAATAAAAAGTTGTAAATGTACACTGATATATAGTTAAAAAAAGAGACAGATTGACACACACACATTCATTTTCTAGTACAATTAGATAAAAAAAACATGTGCACAGATTACATGCACGCTTGATACATACAATAAAAACGTGTACGACTAGAAAGAAGAAAATAAGAAGGTAAAAGTATAACAAATAAAAGCAAAATCAGGAAAAGACAAAGAAAAAGAACGAAAACTGAAGAAGAGAAGGGTAAATATGGCGTAATGGAGACAGATTAAGAGGTTGTTTGGGGTTTAAAAACAGTATTCTTTTTCAGTATTTTTTATATAGTTAGTGGTAGGTATGGTATGGTTCCTTTCTACTAGTTTTATAAATGTCCCCAAAATCATTATATCGAGTATAAAGCGGAACTAGCTTTAATAAAAGACCAATAGCTCAATCTATAAGAGTCTATAATATTGAAAAATCAGTGTGTTGCCGCTTATTGATTTCAATGAATAGAAATTCATAACACACGGGGCGACAAATGCTGAAGGCAGATAGACAGTAATAGCCAAGTGTTTGAATGTTCCCAACCGAAATTCCAGCTCTTTCTATGCTTAGGGAAGCAGGAAGGTTTGCAAAATGTTCGATAGCTTGGCAAAAACAATACCGATCTCTTTCCACGATTTTACTATGACCACGAATTGGGCGTGAAAATTCCGTCTCTCAGTGAAATCACATGAAATCTAAATGAAAACATTGTTTGGAACTGAACTACCGTTGATTAAACGATCGACAGGCGAATGTAATGCAACATACTGGAGAACACTAAGTCCTGGCTATGTGAGGCTTTTATTATTCGAACGTGAGCATCGGATGATGACTACAGATGCATATTTGATGCTACTGATGGAGAAGTCGGCATTAGTAGCGGTTTTTGTTTGAATTTTCGAAATTCACTCTTTCCCTGCAGATGCTGTAGTTCGCATAAAATGTTGAATGGTGACTTGATACTTGTCCACTTGGCTGGTCTATCCAATTTTGTACGCACAGATGGCCTCAGATGTCCTCTTGCTAATGCCAAAAATCTCGAGTAGAGAGCTATCTCGGTTCTTGAGTTATTTGAGTTATGTTCATTTCTCTCTGCTGCGAAAATGATAAAAAATCAATTTTTTATGGAAAATGATAACCTTTTTGGTGTCTACCCCTAGCTTCCCTTTTAAATTTTTTTCTTCTTATTTTAACTTATTCTGATGCAGAGTTTGACGAGCTTTCCGAATATGCCATCGGACTTTTAATATCGTGTCACCTTGAAGAACTAGACCTTAGATATTGATAAAGTTTGAGGACAGTTTCAGCAGTGCGATAACTACGACGCCTATGTACGCTCGGCGTGGATGAGTGCTAGGAAGTCCCAATATAGATGCTAACGCAGTTTTTGATTCTCTATCGATTGTGGGTCTTTTGCCAAAAACGATCCAGAAATGGCCGAGATAATGCGAAAATACTGAGAAGGTCTATTTTTGACTATTTTAGCACATGACATTCATAAGAGACCAAAATGTCGACGAGGATAACTCCATTCAGGTCAACTTCTAAGACCTAATATTTTGGGCTATGGGCCAACTTTTCATGGGTTTCAAATGGTATATTTTAGGACAAAATCAAAAATTTTGCTCCGGCCGGCTTTGGTGGTGGTCTCATGGAATCTCTCTTAACAAGGTCTTCTGAGAACGTTTTGGAGGGGTGAGGTGGCACCATTGTAGAGGTCTGTGTGGGTATGACAGTGAACGCGCAAGCAGAACTTTCTCCAGTTCCCCTTTGTTCCCCATAGAATCATACAGAATGGAGCCATTTAATAACAGCGAATTCTGTCGTTTCGGCACTTTTAAGCAATCCTGTCACTTATAAGATTGAAGGAGAAACAGTACTTGTTGTTGTGAGTAATGAAATTTCACAACACGATGTAACGAAGTTTCATAATCAAATTCTATTCATTTTTCTTCTTATCATTCCACGCAGAAACTGCAACAGGTAAGCACGTTTTATTGTGAAATACTCCGTTCTGCACCCACACCATCTCGTGAAAGATGGGCCACAAATCTTCGAAAACCAAGGCTGTGTCTGTTCGCGCGATCACCACTACTTCAGCTGATGCAGTTCCTTCTCACATCTTCTGTTCTGACCGCACTCGTTAGGAGAATCTGACACAAGAATATCCCTCAAAGGTAGTCGACATCTTCTTCAACCAGGAATCTTTGATGAAAGCCATCCGCGTCTATCACTTGGACGTCTTTCCATCCCTATATGACCGTGAAAAATAATATTCATAATTTTGTTTTGGGATAACATCGAACTGAGTAGACAAGCTCTATATATCCTGTAAACTTCAAGTCATTATCACATAACTGTTGCACTCTAACACTATTCTCTCAATTGCTTTGCTTTTTCAGTTCTTATTTATCGTTATAGATTGAAAATAGACGTAGTTCTTGTTTACTGTGATTGAAAAGGGATAGTGGAAATGGATGTTTCAAAGGTGCTGACGTATGTGTGCCCTGTGTCCCCAGTGTTGTGTGCAAATTCGTATCTTACCTCCGCGATGAACACGACCGTGCGATTCGCAGTTGGGCCTAAAGCTGTTGTTAACGATGAGACAGTCCGCCGCTTCGGTCTTGTGTGGCTTCCTGGCTCAGGACAGGCTCCTGACAACGAGCTGTTGCGTCGGTTTGTCAACGCGTTGTTTGAAACATTACCCTCATCTGTTGGGATAGATGTACTCGGTGTTTCTTGCCACCAAGTCGATGATGCGATCGCAACTTTAAGTGGCCTGGCGGTGGTCGTTGGAGGTCACAGTATGGGAGGCACCATTGCTCACACGTGCGGAAACAAGAAGGGAGTGTTGGTTACCCTTTCTATAGGCGTTTCTCCATCATCTGTTCCTCATTCCATTCCTCACGCTGCACTTGTCATAATCGGCGAAAATGATCCCGCTTATCGAGTCCAAAACCGAATCGTGTTCAAGGATGGTTCTCTCGGTTTTACTGCTGTGCATCAACGCGAATTAGAAAGTAAGCTCACCGTTGTGCTAGCAAAAGATGGTGACCACTCCATCCGTTGGTTTCCACGCTCGGCTATCGATAAAGAAGCAGCATCCGTCACACCCGAGACTAAAGCAATGAACCTAGAAGTAGCTCATCATGTGCATTTGTTTTTTGCATCCTTAGTTGAGCATCTGGAGTAGCGACTTCTTTTTATTGTTTACGTCTTTCTCCAGTTTGTTTCTCTACTTCGACTTTCAATTTCATGCTCCTGTTGTTCAAAGAGAGAAAAACGATGATGTGCTTTTAACAAACAAAGCCTCTCCGCAGCAGCAGCATGCTGGCAAATGCAGCGGGAGCAGTTCGCCGACCTTTAGGTTGAAAAGTACATTACTAGGCACAGCGACAAGGTTAGACGAGCAGAGCGTAACCCTGCCCTCCTTGAGCGGGTGATGGGTAGAAAACTTGCGAAGGTGGTGAGGAAGCGGATGACGCAGACGACGGTCATGGGTTCGCATATCATTTTCAACCGCAGCAAAGACACCTCATGGTACACTGACAACTCAACGAAGGTGTAAAGCAGTAAACTGGGGTAGAAACTTTCCCGCGATGCTTCGGCATACC